CTGGGAGCTTGCAAAAACGACTCTGGAGCTGAGAGTTGAGGGGTCGGGGTCTCCGGGAGAGTTGTGGTCGAGACAGAGGGGGCCGACGTCGAGGGACATGGGGTACTGAAAGCGATTCGCCATGGGGCTGGAGCAGGCGCTGGAAGCACTGGAGCGGGTGGGGGTCGGCGGGGAAGGCAGACATGGCAGAGCTGAGAAGGGCGATCAGAAGCACTGGGGATACAGATGGAGACGTGGGCATCAGAGACACACGAGGTGTACTGCCATCTTCATGTGTTCTCCCTGGACCCACTCAACTGTTCCCTGTGTCTTTCTTCCAACTCACCTGTTCCTATTTCACCTGGCACTCACCTCTTCCCCGTCATCTTTCCCTGCATCTGGCTTGCCTCCTTTAGCCCCCTCACCTGTCCCCAGGACCATCATTGTCTTCATCTTCATCTTCGTTGAGGAAGCTGAAGCTCTCCAGAGCATGCTCCACAGTGATGCTGAGACTGGAGGCCCGGCTGCGAGTCAGGCCTTGTCTCTGCTGGGTTTATGGAGGGAGGAAGTCAGAGCTGCTGCCACTGCCTGGCTGCCCTCCCTGTGTGGCCCCAGCCTAGCCCAACCCTTCTCACCATGAGCAAACTCTCCAGTCGGGTCACCTCCTGCTCCAGGCCCTGTAGCTCAGGGAACTGGCCACGATAGTCATCCAGGGCAGCCATCAGGGCTCCCAGTGCCTCTTCCAGCCTCCTGTCCCCAGCCTCTCCAGCTGCCCCTGGGACCGGTGCCTGGGAAACCCTAACCAGGCTAAGGTCTGAATGCTGGGGTGCAGGGGCTGGGGGTGAGGGAGGGGGGCTTAGCCTCTGAAGGATGGGCTCTGGGGTATCTGTGGCAGCGCTTGTGAGGAGCTGCTGGCTGGAACAAGTAGAATTTGAGTAGGAGGTGCTGGGGGTTGTGGGGTCTACGTGAGTGCAGGGAGTGGAGGCTGGGTGGCTACAGGGCAGGGGGTTGGTGCCTGGAAGGGTGGGGTCTGTATTTGCAGAGGGACTGGGGAGCTTAGCAAGGTCTAGAGGAGTGGAAGGGCTTGTGGTAGTCTGGACTGGGCCCATAGCATTGAGGGTAGGACCTACAGTGGTGTGAACTGACATCCCAGCTTTATCAGTGGGGCTTGCAGTAGTGTGGGTGGGGCTTACAGTGGTGTGGGTGGAGCTTGCTGTGGTATGGGTGGGGCTTGTAGTCATGTGGGTGGGGCTTACAGTAGTGTAGGTGGGGCTTGTAGTAATGTGGGTAGGGTTTGTAGTGGTGTGGGTAGGGGTTATGGCAATCTGGACTTGGCATATGGTATTGGGGGTAGAGGCTGTAGTGGTGAGGGTAGAGAGCATTGGTTTGTGAGTGGGACTTGCTGGGGTCTTGATGGGGCCTGTGACAGTGAGAGTAGGACCTGTGGTGGTAAAGGTAGACACCATGGGCTTGTGGGTGGAGCCTGCAGTAGTATGAGTGAGGCTTGGAGCACTGTGGGTAGGGCTCACAACCCCATAGGTGGAGCTTGTAGTGGTATGGGTGTGGCCTGATAGTCCGGAAGGGCCAGAGTCAGGGGCCTTCTGAACTGAGTCTAGGTGTGCAGATGGAGCAGGGTCTGTAGATGTGGGGGCAGGGCCTGTTGCACTGAGGGTGGGGCTTGATGCAGAATGGCCAGGGATGAGGGCAGGTGAAATAGGAACAGGGTGCTGCCCATGGGTGGGATCTGCATGTGTAGGTGGATTGGGTCCTGGGGCTGGGCTTTCTGGTCCTGCGACCTCCACTGAAGCCTCAGCCAAAGCAGCATCCACACTGGCCTCGCTAATGTGGCTCAGAGTCCGGCTGTAGGGAGCATGCCCATTGGCCAGGGCTGGGGCCACAGCTCCTTCCTCATCCATGAGCCCAGAACTAGAAGTCTCAGGCCTGCGGAAGGCAACTTGGATAGGTAGGGGCTCAGGCTGCTGCATCAAGGGCCTAGGGGCTGACGAGTGGCGAGCAGTGCCTGACAGTTGTGGGCTGGATGAATCATCTGAAGATTCAGATGACAGTGACCATGCTGTCCCATTCTCCAGCTCTTCCTGCCGCCGCAGCATGTTCTGAGAGAGAGGAAAGGGCATTTCAGGATCATACCCAGAGAGCCCCAAGGGGATGGTGAGTTCTGGGCAGGGTTGTGACTCACATAGAAGGCCTGCTCCCGAAGTGAGGGCGTGTCTGGTGGGCTTTGGCTATAGGTGGAGAAGCGCTTAGTGACAGTGGAGGCCTTGTTGACAGTAGAAGCAGCGGAGGGCTGGTCATCCTTGTCAAAGGGGCTAGGGAGGGAAGAGGCTATATTAGCATGTGCCACAGCCCTCCTGGCCCCATCCCCAAGTCTCTGAGCCCCACCAACCTCCATGTGACTTCCAGGCTGAGTTTGATGGTGCCAAGGTCATTGATATCCACGGCCACAACCTGAGGCAGGGCAGCAAACAGGTCCTTGGTCTCACAGGAGACGCTGCCCACAACCACGTGGTTGGCCAGGCCCTTCAGTTCTGTCACCTGTAGCCAAGAGTGCACGGTGGGGTCACTTGACTGCAGGGACCATAAGGTCTGAATTTGCATAGAGATGGGTCATGACACCTTGTGATGCCATGGAGATCACTGTTCTCAGGATCATGGGGCTATGAAGGCTTGAAGTAGTTTGGAAGCATGGATGTCACAAGGGTCTGAATTGGTAGGGTCACTGAAATCAAGGGATCACAGCCTTGTGGTGGTCTTGGGGGTCAAATATTCACAGAGTGAGAAGGCCATGAAGAGGTCACAGAGCCAGGAGGCCCTAAGGTCAAAAAAGCCAAAAGATTATTGTTCTCAAGATCACGGAACTAAATGGAGATCACAGGCTCACGAAGGTCATGGGTCACATATTTACAGGACCATGGAGCCAAGAGGGGGAGGTCACAGGAGTATCTCAGGGTCATAAGGGTCACCAAGGGTTCATAGGACGTTGGTGTCCTGTGGTCCTGGGCATAGACATCACCTTGATGGACAGGAATTCCGTGAGCAGAGGAAGAAAGACGGTTTCTTCACTGTCCCACACCTGCTTCCCACTACCCTCAATGCGGCCCCGTAGCTTCCAGCGCTGACGCCCATATTTCATGCAGATCTAGGGGGACAGCAGGGATGAGGCCACCCTTCGTACTGTGGCCCTGCCATCCTAGCCCATCCCTGTACACCCTCATACCTCATACTGATCACCCACACACAGCCTGGCGAAGCCGGCCAGCCCTGGGAGTAGGAAAAGTAGATGAGCCATGTTGGGGGGGGTCTTGATCACATTTCCTCCTTCCTGCCCCCCCAACCCTCGCATCCACACAACTCAGTACCTTTCATCCGGAGATGAAACTCGCCCAGCTGTGCCTCCAGATCATTCTCCAGCAGACACATGCTCTGGGAGGGAAGGGCAGGACAGGAGAGGTCAAGAACCAGCCCCCTTTTCCCAACCCTGCCACCCCCGGTGCCTCTGCCTCACAAGCACCTGTCCCTCACCTCTGTATATTCGCGATGGCCCCGAGTGGCTTCAGCCAGGCTGTCCCGGGCCTCTCGGCTCCCTGGGGACCCGGTGCTATAGGCACGGACCATGTTGTAGGCACCATCTCGGAGGCGGCGCTGGACGCAGTATGCCTCATACAGCTCGTCGATCTAGGAAGGTGAGTGGGGTAGAACTACTCACCACCGGGGCTACTCACCCAGGGCCTAGTGTGCCCCCCATCTCCCTGCACTATCCAGTCCCCGACCCTACTCCGCATGCCTGCTGCACACGTACCTTGCTGGCATGGAACTCCAGTCGTCGCAGGAAGCGTTCAATGGACTTGACTTGCTGAGGGAGAGGGGGATCAGGAGGGGCCTAAGGTCCAAGGCCCTTGACCCGCCCCATGAACCAATCCCTTCCAACACCTCTCTGCACACACTCACCTTGTCCAAGTCATACAGGAAGCCCTGCAGGGAGAGATAAGGAGGGCCACTTGGGAGGTCTGAGGAGGACTCCGGCAAGGCAGACCCGCCATGGATCTCCTCACCAGCCTTCTCCCCTCACACCACAGTCCACAATTGCTCCAGGCACAGAAGGGACTGACTCCCCTTCCCGCACACCTAGCCTCAGTGCCTGCTGATCACACAGATCTGATCCCTCAGACCTCTCCAGTACCTTCCCCCATACCTCTTCCCCAGGATCTCTTTCCTGCAGCCTCTAGGGAGAGGGCTCTGTGCCCCCCTCAAGCAAGGATCCCTCTGCAGGGGACTTCCATTCACCTTTCAGTACCTAGCAAAAGTGTTCCCTTCCCTGGCATAGATGCCTTCCCCAAGAAGAACCCTGGCTCTCATCCCAGTGCCATTACAACACAGTCTCCTGTCCATGTTCGTGAGATCCACCCCAACCCAATGGAAGTTGCTGTGAGCAGGCACTAGGTCCCAAGCAGAAGTACAAGTGGCAAAGAAGCTGGTATAGACACCTCTCAGCCTTTCCTGACATCTTTGCCACGTACACCTAGACTGATGTCTCCCAGAGCTGGCTCTGTTCAGCTAACCCCACTGCAGAGGCAGAGGGCATTAATCCCGGACACCCCTTCCTCCCCATCACTCACCAGGCGGGAATTCCTCTTGGACTCCCTTATCTGCCCCTGGAGTTTCTCCTGCTCCTGCTGGTGCACTTCCAAGTAGGCCCTGGAGAAAGGGGTAAGGAGGGGAAGTTTCCAGTCTGGCCTTAAACTGCCCAGGCTACAGGCAGGAGGCAGAGGGTATGGGTGCTAGGTTCCCACTAGCAGGACGGAGGTAGGAGTTTGGGAGGGATCCTGGGGTAAGGGGTAGGGAGTTGCTTACGTCAGGCCTCGCTTAAGCGCGGTGTACACCAGGTCCAGCCGCTCAGGCTGGGGACCCTTGGGGGCTGCATGAGCAACGGAAAACATCCTGGACACCCGGGAGAGCGCTGGGGGCTTCCGTGGGGGCCCCGGAGGGCTGAAGACCTGGAAGCTCCTAAGAAAAGGCTACCCTCAGAGAGGTGTGCGCAGGAGCCCCCCAACCGAACCTCTCTACATCCCCAATCCCAGCCCCATCCGACTCTCCTGATCGTCCCCGCCCCCATCCGCTGCGTACCTAGGTCCCCGCTCGTGGCTGCTGAGGACGCCTGCGAAGGACTGGCTCCTATTGACCCGGGCGCTGAGCAGGCGGCGCTGCGGCCGCACCGTGAGGGACATCATGGAATGAGTCCGCGCGGGGCTCCCTAGGGGTGGTGGTGGGGAGTGTCCGGCCTCAGGCAGGTCCCAGACAGCCTCCCCGCGGCCCAGTCCTAGGGCAGGAGCAGGTCCTTCCGGCCACTAGGTAGAGCTGCCCCAGTGGGCTTCGGCCTGGGTACTCTTAGCCCCGCCGGCACCCCTGCTAATGACAGGGCAGTCGCGGGCGACTCAGCCTCGGACTCAGCGTGGCCTCGGCTCGGCCTCCATTTCCTGTGGAGGTGTGGACTCCATCTGGCGCGGGGCAGGAAGGGGGGGTGGCAAGGGGACCCTCCTCGAACAGGGAAGGGGCAGGAAAGGGGCGGGGCGCGCGAAGAATGTGCGGAAGACCGGGGGGCGGGGCGGCCTCCCCAGCCCTGCCCCTGACCGCCAATCTCCGAGGGGATTTGGCCCTCGGGTACCCCCACCCTGGGAGGCCGCGGGAGGTCAGAGGCGGTGCGGGGTGCGCGCTCAGAGCCCTGCCGGACTGGCCTGTCCGGCGCGGGTTTGGCTCCGGCGACCCGCCCGCCCTGCGTGAACCGCACCCCCAAGTCCCCACCGGCTTCCAGGCGCCACGACGCCAGCGCCCTCCCAGCGCCCAGCAGCTGGGGGATTCCCAGGGTGGGGGGCAGTGCCGAGAAGTGCCCCGCCCCCTCCGTTTTCTAGAGGCTCCGACCTGGAAACTGAGTCACGGACGCACGCCTTCACCCCTGCCCTTGGCAGGAAGGGATCCTCGGCGGACCCCCACCCAGCTCCGCCGAAACACGCACTCTGGATTCCCAGAACTCGGCCTGCAGCCCCTGGAGTCAGCCCCGGAGCCTTCGCAGCCGCAGGCCGGGTCCTACCTCTCTTCTTGGCGTTCATGGTAAGTTCGGGACGGCTCTCACCCCAGCTCGCCCCCACGTCCCCGCCGGCCCTGGGCCACTCGGTGCGGGCCCAGCTGGGCTCCGCGCTGGTTCCCAGCGTCTCTGGCTCGCTTTGGCTCCTCCCGGCGCCGCCCCCCCGCCCAGTTCCTGCCGCCTGACTCAGCCCGCCGGGATGGGGCGGGACCGGCCCGACTAAGGGGGCATAAGCCTGGCCTCCAGGAAGAGTGACTGGGATTCTCTTGAGAGGAGGAACTCCCGGGGGTATTCTAGGCTGGGGTCAGGCGTGTGTGCAAAGGGACTTGAACGCTATGATGAATAGGAGGGACAGAATAAGGGAGCTGAGAGGGGGCTGGCTGTCCTAGGGGACAGTGAATCAGGTGCTCCAAGAGTGGCAGGTGGGGGGTGCTGAGATGGCTTAAACATACAAGAGGACTGAGTATTAGAGTTCCAAGTGTGTGAAGTGTGGGAAATTGCAGGATGGAGAATGTGGAAGGGGTGGGGGTACTGAGTGAATGGATAGTGCCAATGGAGGGCAGAGAATAGGGTACTGAGCTCCAGGGGTCTGGGAGACTGAGAATAGAGGGGGTAACAGTGTGGGACTAGCTCAGCCCATATTACCTGTTGCTCCCCAAGAGGGACGAAGAGAAGAAACGGTGCCACAGCCCCATGCACCACCCTCACGCCTGGTTCCACAGACCACGCCCCTCTTTCCAGGCCCCAGGGGAAAAAAATCGAGTCCCATTGCCAGGCCAGTGCCTCCTCTCTAGCCATAACTGCACCCTAGAGCTGACACTCCCCTCTGGCCCCCAACTCAGGCCATGCATTCCCTCTGTGCCAGCTCTTTCCTATTTAGTATCTCTTCCTTGACTATCCCATGTCCACCTCCAGCCTAGACAGAGGCCACCATGTCCAGCGTCTACTGGGCATTCCATTCCCTGACCTTGAAGGGGCTGATGCTCCCCTATTCCATACACTCCTGCTTCTTGAGGCTCAGTTCTGCAGTTCTGTGCTAACTTTCTCAGGAAGGGGTGGCCCAGGGGTCTGCATTCCCAACAAACCCACCAACCCCTCTACAGATCAGATGCAAAGTTCAAAGGACCCCAGCTTGCAAAACACTGTTCTCCCCACTTCCTTGAAAACTGGGTATGATGGACCCTACTCCAGTGACCTATGGATTTCCATGGATAGTTTGCCCAGCATTGGCCTCTGTGCTCCTTTTAGCCATCTCTGATGGGAACACCCCAGACTTAGCACTTGCCTCTGGCATGTCACTTTGCTAAATAACAACCACATTAACCATAGGCTTCAGACTCTTATTACCCCCACCTCACCTGCCATTTACTTCAGACCTCTGTCTCTTGAGCCCTCAGCTCACTTATTCAACTAGACACTGAGTGAAAGCTCTGTGCCAAGCATATGCCAGTCTCTGGAGCCCAGCCTATCACAGACACCATCCTACACAGAGCTCACAATTCGCCTCTGCTTTTGTTCTGCCAGCTTCCTTCCCACCTTCTCTTCCCTTCCCTCCCTGCATACCCTCCTCCCCAGCATGGATCCACAGTCATTATCCCATCACTTGCCTGCTGCAAGGATCTTCAGAGCTCTGTGCCTCTCTCCTAGCTAGCAGGAACCAACCCAGGGCAACCCAATTCCCTGTCTTCTCTGCACCTGCACATGGGCTAGCAGAGCTGCCAGAGGTCTTGGTGCAGTAGCACAGAGTAATTCCCAACCTTAGCCGGGCTCTCACATTCCATCCAGTAAATCCTCATGTGGCTCTCATCACCCTTCTCCTTTCTCATAGAAGATGGGTATTTCAGACTTTCTCCACAAATCTCAAACAAGTTCACTTCATTTCCACATTAAAAAATGAAAACGACCCTCCAAATGGAGACCAGCAGTTGGCGTAATGGCTATGTCACTGGACTCCCATGTAGTCGACCGCGATTTGAGTCCCGGACCTGGTGGCTTAAACTCACACCAGGCGTGTGTGCGTGCATGCCCAAGATCCTGAGAGGAGAATGGAGGAGAAGGGATTGTGGCGTGGCCATCCCCCCTGGGGGGTGATTTCTCGCTTTCTGTCTCTCTCTGTCTTTCTGGCGAGCACATGTGCCTTATGCCAAAACCAACCCTCCCTGGTCCGAAAAAAGAAAGAGAAGAAAAAAAAAAGGAAACTATCCAAATGTCCATCATTGAAAAATGAAATTACTTACTTACTCTACAGCAAAAAGAATGACAAATATATAATTACATTCAACAGTATGGATGAATCCTTTTTTTTTGGAGAGATTTTTGCTATAGGGCGCGTGCGCTCGCCAGACAGACAGAGAGAGACATAGAGACAGAAAGTGAGAAATCACCCCCCAGGGGGATGGTCACGCTGCAATCCCTTCTCCTCCATTCTCCTCTTGGGATCTTGGGCACACACACACACACGTGCCCGGCATGAGTTTTAAGCCACCGGGTCCGGGATGCGAACCGTGGTCGACTACGTGGGAATCCAGCGACATAGCCATTACGCTAACTGCTGTTTCCCCAGTACGGATGAATCTTACAGACGCAGTGATTAGTGAAAAAAACAAGATGCAAGAGAGGATACATGGGTGTTTTGATAATGAAATTTTAAAAAGAGACAAAACTAATCCGTGATGATAGAAGTCAGACTCATAGTTACCCCTGCAATGTTATGACTGGACAGGGACACAAGAGGTCTTCCAGGGTGCTGATGATCTTCTGTTTCCTGCACTGGGTTCATTTCCTGATCCTATATGGATGTGTTCTCTTATGAAAATTAATCTACATGCTTAGAACATACACACTTTTGGGGCCAGCAGGTGGCATGGTGGTTAAGGACGCTAGACTCCCACATGGCCAACCATGGTTCAAGTCCCAGGCCTGGCAGGTTGCTTTCTCACTTTCTCTCTCTTTTCTTTCTCTCACTCTGTCCCTCTCTGGTCAAATTTAAATAAATAAATAAAGTTAAATAAAAATAATTCTTTTTTTTAAAGAGAGGTTTTTGCTATAGGGCGTGTGGGCTCGTCAGAGACACAGAGAGACAGAAAGTGAGAAATCACCCTCCCCCCGGGGAGATGACCACCCCGCAATCCCTTCTCCAGTCTCCTCTTGGGATTTTGGGCATGCATGCACACATGACCAGTGCAAGTTTTAAGCCACAGGGTCTGGGACTCGAACAGCAGTCAACTACGTGGGAATCCAGCACCATAACCATTATGCCATTTGCTGATCCCATAAAAAGTAATTATTAAAAAAAAGTACACACTTTTTGTATGTATATTGTGTTTCAATATAATAAAGTTGGCTTTAAATAACTACAAGCCAGCAGGTGGTGTGGAGATTTAGGTGTCTGGGTCCCACATGGCCAACTCCATGATTCAGTTGCTGGATCCAGTGGCTTGAAAACCATGCCAGGCGGGGGTGGAGAAGGAGAATAACATGCTGAGTGCATATGCTTGCATGCCCAAAATCCTGAGAGGAGAATGGAGGAGAAGGGATGGATGGCAGAGCAGCCATCCCTCTGGGAGTAGGGGGTGATTTCTCACTTCCCATCTCTCTGTCTCTGTCTCTTTTCAATGATCACATGCGGCCTACAGCAAACTAAGGGAAGCCCCCACCCCCCTGCCATGAGCCCAGTGTCCCTCACCAGCTCTCCCACTTCTCACTCCACCTGTCTCCTCTTCCAGAACCAAATTTCTTGAAGAGATGTCTGCCTCTATTTCCTTACCACATCTTCCTACTCCTCTTCCCATCCTGGTTCACCTGCTGCACCCACCACTGCCCTGACTGGTCTAGACAAGGTCACCAATAACCTCCCTATAGCTGAATCCAGTGTTTAATCCTTATCCTGCTTGATCTCAGTAAAGCTTATAACTTTGTGGTTCCCCTTTTCTTCTTCTTTTTTTTTTTGGAGAGGTTTTTGCTATAGGGCGTGTGCACTCGCCAGAAAGACAGAGAGAGACAGAGAGACAGAAAGCAAGAAATCACCCCCCAGGGGGAATGGCCACGCCACAATCCCTTATCCTCCATTTTCCTCTTGGGATCTTGGGCACGCACACACATGCGCCCAGCATGAGTTTAAGCCACCGGGTCCAGGAATTGAACCGTGGTCGACTACATGGGAGTCCAGCGACATAGCCATTACACTAACTGCTGGTCCTCCCTTTTCTTCTTTAAGCCTTCTTTCCCTTAATTTCTTTCTTTTTCCCCCCACTTTTTTTTAAAAGAGATTTTTGATATATGGCGCATGCATTTGCCAGAGAGACAGAGAGACAGAAAGTGAGAAATCACCCTCCCCAGGGGGAATGGCCATGCTGCAGTCCCTTCTCCTCCTTTCTTCTGTTGGGATATTGGGCACACACACATACACAAGCACCTGGCCTGAGTTTTAAGCTGCTGGGTCTGGGACTCAAACCGTGTTCAACTCTGTGGGAGATCAGCAACATAACCATCATGCCATCTGGTGGTCCCACCCTTAAATTTCAAGAGAAAACATGCTTTTGGTTTTCCACCTTCCATTCAGAACCAGTTTGAGCCAGTCAGAACCAGATTGAGCCAGTTAGAACCATTCTGAACAGGTTTGAGCCTGTCAGAAACAGATAGAACCAGTTAGCACTGGTTTGAGCCAGTTAGAACTGGTTTGAACCAGTTGAAACTGGTTACAGCTGAATTGAGCCAGTCAGAACCAGATTGAGCCAGTTAGAACCAGTTTGAATCCACGTGCATCAGTCAGAACTGGTTTGAACCTGTTTAAGTCAGAACCATATGGAACCAGTCAGAACTGGATGGAACCAGTTAGAACCAGTTTCAGTCAGTCATAACTGGGTGGGGCCAGGTTGAATAAATCAGAACCAGTTTGAGCCAGTCAGAATCGGTTTCAGCCTGTCAGAACTGGTTTCAACCTGTCAGAACTGGATGGAACCAGTTTGAACCAGTCAGAACCAGATAGAGCTAGTCAGAGCCAGCTTCATCCAGTCAGAACTAGATGAAACCAGTTAGTACCAGTTTGAGCCAGTTACAACTAGTTAGAACCCATTAGAACCAGTCAGAATCAGTTTGAGCCAGTTAGAACCAGTTAAAGCCAGATTGAATCAGTCAGAACTAGATGGAACCAGTTAGCA